GTACATGCAGGCATATAGGCCTAACCAATGGACACGGACAACGGGGGGGAGGGCAAGCGGGGGTGGGGGGGTAGAGGGTAACGTGGGGACAAGGACACATATGTAATATCTTAATCAATAAAAAATATATTAAAGTGAAAAAAAAATAAAAAAATAAAAAGCTAAAAAAAAATTCATGAAGAAATTCAAATGACCTAGTTTAGCTACAAAAAAACCTCCAAAAAACAAAAGAAAACAACCTTAAAATTAAAAACAAACAAACACAGATTTGGAGTACTAACTGCCTGTTTTCAAGCTTTATTATAAAGCTATAATAGTGAATAGAGTAGAGGCAAATAATTAGCACATTTAAACAACTGAATGTCCAGAAATAGTCCAACACACATAAAAATTGATTTCTGCAAAAGGTGCAAAAGCAATGCAGAGGAAAAATTATACTGGAGCATTTGGACATCCATATGCAAAAATGTTAACTTGGATTCATACGTCACAATATATACAAGAATTAACTCAAAATATTATGAACCCAAATATAAAACTAAAACTGTACAATTTCTAGAAGTAAACATAAGAGAATATTTTTGTGATCCTGGTTTACATAGAGATTTTTTAGTTATGACACCAAAAATATTATTCATGAAATAACAAATTATTCAATTAGACCTCACCAAATTAAAAACTTCTACTTGAAAGACACTGTTAAGACTATAAAAGATAAGCCACATATTGGGAAGAAATATCTGCAAAACACATGTCCGAAGGACTTCTATTCTGAATCTATAAAGTAAACGCTAAACTTAATAACAATAATAATAATGCAATAACAATATTGTGAAAGGATTTTGCCAGTCATTTCATTACAGAAGATCGACAGATTGCAAATACATATATAGGAAAAAGCTCAATATTATTAGTCATTAGGGAAATTCAAAATTAATTCATAATATGATACTACTACAGAACTACTAGAATCATTAAAAGGTAAGACTAAATATATCTATTGTCAGGCATGTATGGAGGAACTGGAATTCTTGTAACCCATAGTATAACTGTAAAACAGTGCAACCACTGTGAAAAATTTTTTGTAGTATCTTAAAAAGTTATGTACTTATCTAACATGTGATCCAGACAGTCCACTTCTAAGTATTACCCAAAGGAAATGAAGGTATATGTCCATACAAAAACTTGAATGTGAATGTTTATAACAGCTTTATTTGTAATATCTGGAAAAAAATTCAAATGTCCTTTATCAAGTTAATGAATAAACAAAATGTGGTAAATCTATGGAATGCATTACTCCTAACTACAAAGTTATGGACTATTGATACACACCACAATGCAGACAAATCTATCTACACTAATAAAAGTGAAAGATGCAAATTAACCATCACTTTGTCACTACACTACACCCATAAGCCATGCCCACCAGCCAATCAGAGTGACTATGCAAATTAACCCAACTAAGATGGCAGCGCCCATGGCCCTGGAGCGAACAGGAGGCTTGGGTTGCCCTGGCAATGGAGGAAGCCAAGCTTCCCGCCTGCCCTGGCTTCCACTCAAGGCTACAAAGTTTCAATTATAGAAGATAAATAAATCCCAGATGCCTGCTTCCAGCCCACCCTGGAAAAAAAGAAAAAAAAAAGGAGAGGCTGGGAGCTTGGGTCACTGGGGGGCATGGCCAGCCTTAAAACGGCCCTCAGCCTCTCATTCAGGCTGTCCAGGCACCCCAGCAGGACCCCCCCACATCCTGAAAGGGCTGTGGGCAGCCTGAAAACAGCCTGCAGCCCCTCACCCAGGCTGGCCACAACCGCATGGGTGAGGGTCCCTGTTGGGGGGCTTAGCAAGCCTGCAAACAGCCATCAGCCCCTCACCCAGGCTGGCCAGGTACCTCAGCAGGACCCCTACCCTGATCCAAGACACCCTTCAGGGCAAACCAGCCAGTCCCCACCCAGGCACCAGGCCTCTATCCTATAAAATACATGTTATTTTGTGAAAGAGCCACACTCAAGGGCCCGCAGTTTGCCGACCACTGGCTTAGGCCCTAAGCCTGCTCTCTGCTTAGTGTTCCCATGGAGGCAGGAGAGGCTTCTGCCACCGCCACTGCGCTCTCCAGCTGTGAGCCTGGCTTCTGGGGTTCTGGCCGAGGGGTGCTCCCCCTGTGGGGGGCCCCTGAGC